CCCTTTTACATCCAAAGATAAGACTTCTTACCAATCAATGGTAAGATAGTTATATCAAAGGAAGAGAGGAATGAACAAATGACTTTTGAGTAAGGTAGAATGTTCCTAGTTGCTTGCTCATCTTCAAAACACAGACACCTTTTCAAATGCACCAACACTTTCCATTGAAATATTTTAAAAAGTTAAAAACACTTTGTATACATTTTTATAGAGACAAGAATCATTACAAAGTTTGCCTAAACGAAGGCGTTTTTCAAAAATATTTTCAAGAACCACCACAAAGCACACTTTCAAACAAAAGCAAAGATCTAGCAAGCAACTAAAAGTCCATAGATAACTATGGATAAAAAAGGTACAAATACCTTCCCTTTTCATAATCTATCCCCCGAACTCAAGAAAATAATCTCAAAGGTCTTTCCTGTTCTTTTCAACCTTTCCCCATTGGATAAAAGAAAAGTCAGTGGCGACTCTTGCTATCCGTAACAATTGTGATCAAACGCAAAACATCTCAAGTCAGTTCTCCCACCGTATTACATAGGGCGTCTTCCCCAACTGTTTAACGATATTGTAGTCGCTTTTACGGATGATTTTCATTATATCCTCTATCTCTTGCTTTGAGGAATCTTCAATAGTAACATCTTTTGATGGTGCCTCCATCTGGGGTAGGCTCAATCATCTTTTCTTTGCCCTGGGTGTCAACAGTTGACCTAGCAGCAAGGATACACACTGGTGTAGTGATAGTCTTTGGAGGAGAGATCTCTGGAGAGAAGATTATTCCCGTTCTGGTAACTTTACTAGTCCCAACGATATTTTCGACATTGAGATTGGTAACTTCAGTATCTTCATCTTTGGTAATCCATGGTTCTTGCTTAACACCATGGTAATAAACTTCAACTCCATAATTCCAGGAACAACCTTGTCAGAGGAATAGTGGACTGGCCTCAGTGCAGTAATGATCAAGGGAGCCACCCAATGCTCAGCAGAAATCTTTATAGGACCTTTAGAGGTGATCCTTACAGGAGTATTGAAAATTGTGATTATAGAAACATCTTCAAGTCTCAGCTCTTGAGACATACTTTCATGCAAACTCTTCACAGATGGAGTTTTCTCAAACAGAATTTCATGGCTATCAATCAAACGTTGAATACCCTTCTTCAGCCAAACACAGCCATCAGATTGGGATGCACAATGGTAACAAGGGAGTGGTCAAATCATTTATGGTGGAGACATAAGAAACCTCGTCGATAGCATTAACACCTTTACCATTACTAGGCATAAGTGCAGTAAGCACATTAGGGGTCTCGGGAGGATCAAATTCAATCTCTTTCGCTTCGATTATATCCTGGATTTTGTTCTTCAAGGACCAGCAGTTGTTGGTGTCGTGCCCATGAGTGTTAGAATGATAGGCACACTTCGCATTCAGGTTGTAATTAGGAGAGGAGGTGTTGGGATTTTGAGGAGGATCCCGTAGTGTTATCAATTCTGCTTTTAACAAATTTTGAAATGCCTGAGACAATGACATATTAATCTTGGTGAATTGCCTTCTCAGAGCGTCCAACCTATGCTGATTCCCCTATTGTTGTTGTTGAACATGTGCAGGATTAGAAATTAACACCGCTCCCATAGACTGATGGTGATCATTCTTACTACGGCCCTTCTGGCCATAAATAGCAGTGGTTTCCTTTTTATTATTGAACGCCTTCTTTACAGCATTAGAAGATGCAGCCACTGAAATCTTTCCGCTCATGATACCACTTTCAACTCATTCCCCGATCAGGATCAGCTCAGTAAAACTAGATTAAGAGCTCCTAATTAGCAGATTAAAGAATGGACCTGTCAGAGTGGCTATGTCCATATAGACCCCAGATTTCTCAAGGAGAGCATCGAAAGTCCAGGGTGGTTCAATGTCGACGGACTTCCTGAACTCTATGTCCGGGAAGAGTCCTCTCTAGAGCAAGTATCTCTTCATGTGATCGATGCATTGGACCTCAATAGCCTCGCAGTTGAACCAATCAATGTACTCCCTGAGGGTTTCATCGCTTCTTTGGACGATAGCCTCCATGGAATAAGCAAGCATATAGCAAGAAAATATAATTTCCTAAAAGACCAAGCTAATATGGAGAAGTTAAAAGATTGAATATTGAAACAGAGATACAACATGCAAATATTATAAACAAGTCATTGAAGAAAACAAGACTCAAAGGTCACAGAGAATTGATAAAGATGCAAAGATTAGTTTTTTTTGTGTTGAAACAAGATTCTACTATAGTCACAATTTAATTGTAGGTTTAATTGTAGGACAAGTAAGTGACTTATAACACAAACAAAAAGTAACAACTTCACTGTTTTGAAGTTATACTAATTAGTTGATTTTTTGACTATATATACTCTCGTCATACGCCGTAATTCGATAAAATTATTTTAAATAAACACTTTCATTCTATTCCTCTTTAATTTCACCTATTCTTTGAATTAAATATATTTTTGATTCCTATAAAATTATCAAAACTTATATAGTATGTTTTAGTCTTACAAAATTTTAGTATACACGTAATTTATTACTATTAAATCAATGTGTATTTTTGAATATTTATTTTGCTATTAAAAAGTCATTACTTTTTAAAAAATTATAAAAAGTTTCTTTGAATTTGTATTACTTTCATCATTATCTTTGAAATTTAAAAAAAAATCATATTTAATTCTTTTTATCTTAAAAAATTATAAAATTTGATAAAGAAACTTTCTATAGTATTCAAAAGGGTTAATACCTATTTTCACCCCTGACATATGGGGTGTATTTGAAAAACCCCCTGCCAAAAAAAAAGTTCCAATTGTTACCTTGACAAATTTTAAAAGTTTCAGTTTTTACCTTGAGGATGCCACATCACCTAAAAGGCTGATGTGGCTTATATTTTTGTTATATTTTTATGAATACTGTCTGCAGCGAACGCTTCTTACCACTAGACCAATGCATTTTCTTTGTTATATTTTGGTTTGAACGCCCTTTGCTCTTGAACGCTCTTGAACGCCCTTAAGGCTGGAAAGAAAGATGTCTTAGTTGCAACTGATGTTGCATCTAAAGGTTTGGATTTTCCTGATATTCAACATGTCATCAACTACGACATGCCAGCTGAAATAGAAAATTATGTCCATAGGATTGGACGTACTGGACGATGTGGTAAAACTGGTATAGCGATCACGTTTATAAACAAGAACCAAAGTGAGACAACTTTGCTTGATTTGAAACACCTATTGCAAGAAGCAAAACAAAGGATCCCACCGGTTTTAGGTGAGCTGAATGATCCAATGGAAGATACTGAAGAAATCACAGGCATAAGTGGTGTCAAGGGATGTGCATATTGTGGCAGGCTTGGACATCGTATCCGTGATTGTCCTAAATTAGAACATCAGAAGAGTGTGGCAATTGCAAATAATAGAAAGGATTATTTTGGATCTGGAGGTTACAGAGGGGAAATTTGAAAGGCGTTAGTCCCTTGTTTACTAATTTTTCTTGTAATACTACTGGCTTATATCTGCAGATTTTAGATTGTATACCATGAAATCTAGCGATCTTCCTTCCTGACATTTGTACTGGTGTATATGGTATGTACCAATTTTCTTTGAACGCTATTGGGCTATGTACGATTGATTTGTTACCTTGAAATTTCTGCCATGAATTTTGTGAATTTCATTCCTCTACTGGTGCCTTGGTAAAAATATGTTTGAATTGTGAAATTTCTGCCATGAATTTTTGACGGTAAGCTTGTGAATATCAACTTGAAGCATAAGGGCGTTCAAGAGCAAAGGGCGTTCAAACCAAAATATAACAAAGAAAATGCATTGGTCTAGTGGTAAGAAGCGTTAAAAATGACAACTAATCAAGCCATGTCATAAAAATATAACAAAAATATAAGCCACATCAGCCTTTTAGGTGATGTGGCATCCTCAAGGTAAAAACTAAAACTTTTAAAATTTGTCAAGATAACAATTGGAATTTTTTTTTGGCAGGGTTTTTTCAAATACACCCCATATGTCAGGGGTGAAAATAGGTATTAACCCTATTCAAAATATACTTGCAAAAAAATGACTTAAAAATTTTCATAATTCCATAAGAATAATTTAAAACTATGCGTGGCACTATATAAAATTTCTTTATGCCAAAAAAATATTTTTGTTTGTCAATAGGAAAACATGAATAAAATACAATCAAAATAATGTTATCCCTTGAAAGATATTGTCTGTTTTCTTTCAAAACACTACAGACAATGCAAAAATGACATGTTTCATTGCAAAGGCTTTGGGAGACCTTCCGTAGCTAAAATTAAAGATTTTTTTGCAATAATCAATTTTATAAAAATAACTACACAGCTTTTTATATATATATATATATATATATATATATATATATATATATATATATATTGTAGTGCAGAAAATGACACAAATTTTTGAGAAAAAAGATGTGAGAAGTATTACCTTTGCAATAAACTATCTAGATGTAAATCCAACCCAACATTCATTTTACATGTATCAGATTAACAATAGTACTTCAGGCTGATACAGGATAAAAGTCTACAAAACTGCATTTGATTATGATAATTCTAAGATTCAACATCTAATTTGAGTTGAATGTATGTATCAGCCGCATATAGAAATAACTCAGTAGCAAGATACTGGTATGAATAATGCAGACATCAGCATAATGTATCAGAATATTAAGACAATAAGCTTAAGTGTCAAAATACTAAACAAATGAACAAATCTGAATGAGAGCTAAATATTTATAAGAATCAGTCAAAATTCATAAACCAAAATTTCAAGTTCATAGCTGCCAGAAGTATACAATGTATATTAAAAACCAAATCTTTATAACCAAAACCAATAGCAGAAATACCAAACACCTGTCAGAAGCCAAAACCAGTAGCAGGCCGATATTTGATGTTTTAGGCATATATTCCCCAAACTGACACAGAAGCCAAAATAAAAGGTGGTACATACCTCTACTCTGATACAACCAATTCCAGTCGAACACCTCTAAACAGGGGTATAACAACAGCTACATTTCCTCTCCAGGGTACAGTCGTATCTGTCGCAGTTGGAAGAAATCAATAATATATTAATTGTGAAGGGAGCAAAAAAAATCCAATGAAATCTGATCAAATAAGTTTGTTTATGACTAATGAAATTTCAAACTGAAATTATTATGATAAAACCTTAAAACAATTCACATTAATATTTGTAAAAAAGAGCATATGAATAAAATCACCATCACGTGTTTCATTCACATTCACTGCCCTGCCGTCGAATAAACTACCTTTTTCTGCCTCAATCTCTTCTGCTGCAATTTGACACCTCGGATGAACTACACTCTTTGTGTCATGTTTGTTCACATGAAGTTGAGCTCCAGTCACAATTAATGTAACCTTTTTTCAGTGCTCCAGTCAGGATTGTATTTCACCGGCACGGTACATACATGAAAGAATTTCTTCCCGGTTATCGCTTCAAAGAAACGGCTGTCGCTTATTTCTTCAGACAATATTGCTGTGTCCTTGATTTTATTGCTAAGAATTTTTGGAGTATTTAATATATGTTCTACATGTATGGCTAATCTGTTGCATTTCATGCCTTCGAGAAACAATCGCATTCCAATGATTGGTCTTTTGCCAACTGTAACCAATTATGGTTGATTAATAAACTTTAGCATATATGAATAAAGAACATGAAATCAAAGACTAATAGGTTTGAAATGAAAGTACCTTCTCAGTGTTTACATAAAAACTTGAATATAGAATAAATACAAATATAGTTAATATAATGCATTCTTGTTTACCAAGTCACATTTGGAGAAGATTATTCACAGTAAGTAACTTCTCATTTTGTATGGATTTATTGAAGTCTTGCACTCATGTCCATCAATCCACAACTCATAACCCAATTAAAACTTTATCCAGACACACATTAACACATAGAACATATTTTTACTTATCTATATATATTTTAAAGTAAAGGATGATAATGACAATAGAAGCATCAGACATCGGTGGATAAAATGATCGGTTAGTAAAAAATCCGAGATAATATGGCAAAAATATAATTAATAACAACTGCAGAGTTTACCTGAAGAATAATACAAACAACCAGATAAAAGTGCTGTCTAAGAACTTGCAGCTCAATGTGACATTTTAGAAGAAACATTATTATGTCTTAAAAAAATGAAGAGAAATTGACATGGGAAATCAACACTCACAGCAATAAAAAAAAATCATATATCAAAATAACTAAGGAGAAATACTCACCTATAGGCACATTTCACAAAGCGGAGAGACGGCTGCACAGGTGGAAAACTAACTTTTCCAATATGATCTTCCCCAGTGAACCCAAAAATGCCAACAGCTTGGTTATAAGCCACACGCTTTGCAACCTCTACCATGTTCCTGTAGAAGGCACTAGAAAGGTAATTTCTTCTCTGTCAGTATATAGTGATTAGTGATCAAATCAGTGTTTTTGTTTTTCTGTACCTGACTATTATATTAGTTAGTTTAATGTGTTAGGTAGCTGCCACTGCATACACAGGTTCAACTAAGCCAAACTGAATCAATTTATACCAGCGTAATAATTAAAATCATTCATTGAAAATCATTTACCATTTTCATCGGAAACAATATCAGAGTTCTCTCTCTTTTCCTTATCAGTAGAAATTTAGCATTCTCATATCACAAGAATAACAAATATGCCATCAAATTTAAAAGCACATCAGAACTATGAAACTTCTCCAACAACATTTTATTTAAGAACAGAACAGAGACAGCTGGATTTAAAATTCACCCGAAAGTTTTTCCCTATCTTACTATGCACAATATAAACCACAAATCAAATTAAATTTTAAACAACCAACCATGATTTCTAAATATGGGACCAAAAAATTTAATTATGCCCACATATTTAAGGTTGTTGGATGTAGAAACCATAAAGCATGAAATGATTTTTATTTCCTAACGCATAATTTCCTTTTAATATCACATTTGGTAAATTATTTATTCTACCAATGTATAGCTACATGTTCTAATAAAATTCCTGCAAGTACAAACCATCCAACACTTCACAAAACAGGAACACATACTTGAAAATTAAACTTTTACCAAAAGCATGCATTTATAGTATATAACTAACTCACCCACCAACAAAATCAAAATCAGAGAAGATGAATGTTGTTGATAGATCAAAACTGCAAGCAATGATATCCTTTGCATACTCACGTGCAAGTTGTCAGCACTCATCACCGTAAGACTTTTCCACAAAAACTTCTCATCATCAGTGAGCTGTATAACCAGAGGAACCTTAAAAGCATCTTGCAAATACCTACACACCATTTTCCACCACATCAGGAACTCACCAAATACTGAATTCCAGCAGTTTTCAAAAACAAAATGTACTTACTTCGTGAACATGAACGGAATCAAATGACCTAAATGTGAAGCTTCAGAAGAAGGTCCATGTCCTGTATATAAGTAAAATTTATCTCCTTTTTCGTATGCATTCAAAATCGCAACAAAATCACTGTCACGTAATCAATTTCCTCATCGTAATCACTTTGTTCCTCCTCTTCCGAATCACTATCTCCCTAAAATCTCATTTCAACAAAAACAACATGAATCAATTTTTAAAACAGTATACAAAAAATATCATACCGGACTCCAAAATCTCGAATCCATTGATTAATAAATTTATAGATTTATGCTTAATGTTTCAAATGATTAATGTACTCCTAACACAATGATAGACTTAAGAAACACCTGTTACAATTCAGTTTCATAGCTCCTTCTGACTGAAGAAACAGCCTGAACAGTATCAGAATTATTTGACAACAACCTATCACCCAGAAATTGTAAACTGAAGTTGTAAGTCTAACTTTTATAATATGTAGTTGTTGATTAGAGTAAGCAAAAATAACACTGAAAAACAACATGTAAGAAGAGAAAGAATCAAGGAACCGGCGAAGGCATTTCATCAAACACTTTGTAAACAAGATTGAACGCGAAACCGGCGAAGACATTTCATCGAACACTTTGACACTAGATATCTGATGATTTCTAAAACCTAATTTAAAATAATAAAATTATCAGAAAGACTGAGGCGACGAATCTTGAGTGTTACCTGCCATAACCACCGATTTTCCCCTTCAATTGTTACACTCTGGAGTGACAAATCAAATTCAACTCAGTAGAAAACATTGATGATTGAATCTAATGTAAAAATCGATTGATTGAACAAAAACGAAGGATTTTACTCTATTGAAATCATCACGCGAAATCTGAAATCCAAATTGAAGAAGAGGAGAAGACGAAAGAGAGAGGATGGGAGAAGAAGAGATGACGGAAGAGAGAAAGGGATGGGAGAAGAAGATGCGTTGAAATGTGTGGTATGATGATAGAGTTGGAAGAAAATTAAGGGTTTACGTTTCCAATAGTTTTGCATTGAAAACATGCGTGTTTTATTTTCTTAGCCGACGTTTGATCTTCTCAATGTTCAAGCAATCAAAATTTCACATGTTTTATAATAAATAAAGTTTAATTATATTTAATTATAACTTTCTTTTTTATAGCATAAGTAAAATTATAATTAAGGATAAGAAAATATTATGTAGCAAACTTTGTTAAAATACTCATCTTTCATTATTATATTATATAAATTTTTAAAATTTTATAAAATATCAAACAGTAAAACTTATACATAAATTTTTTTAAAGATTAAAAATAAAATTAAAGATATTTATAAAATAAAAACATTCCTTGCTTCTTTTAAGCCAATTAATTACTTTTTGAAACAAGTTATTCTAACACTTTGACATGTTACTCTTATTAATGACTGAGAATGTGCTGTACAGCTACCTCTCATTGTATAGCACACCATTGATAAGACTGGGACTGTTAAAAAAATCATGAATTTAATTGAACCGTCCAATTAAATCGAGTTAGAGTTAAAATAATTAAACTGTTATATTTGATTAATAAACTAAATTATATTATATAAAGTTTTTAGAATCAAATCAAAATTGAAATTAAATTAAATTAAATTAAAATTGAAACTGAATCGAATCAAAATTAAAAATAAATATATTAAAAATAAATTTTAATTTAAAAAAAAAATTAATTTAACAGTTTATTTTGTTAAAAATTACCTTCTAACGATTTAGAATTTTAAAACAGTATGTCAAATTAATATATTTAGTTTAGTTCAATTATAAATAATTTAAAACAATTAAGTTTAAATAAATGTTTACTATAATTTAATTTGATTTTTTTACTATAATTTAATTTTGTTCGATTTGATTTTCTTTATAAACTAAATTGTTTCATGAACAGCCTAGATAAGACACACCGCTCCCTTTCTTACTTTGATGTACTTTGTTTTGCTATGCAATTCTGACCAATTTATTAGAGAAATTTCTTAAATTTTTTAGAGAGAAAATAATAATATGTAAACTGAAAGTAAAAGAATTTTTACAAAGAAATTACACAGGAATCTTATTTTCTTCATTGGATAAATATTTTTTGTTACAGTATCAATTTTTCTTGGATTAATAGGAATTTTGTTCTCTGTAAAAAATATTTGAATTTATTTATTAATATATAAAGATTCTCTTGTTTTTTTTCAACAATATTTAAACTCAGGACTCTTAGAGCAATTTCAACCAAAGTTTTTCAATCAGTTGACCAGCATGACAAACATCATTGTCAATTTAAAAGTCATTAGAGTTGTCCAACGTGAAAAGCTGCTTTAAAACAAAATAATAATAAAAACAAATATGAAAATTCAACAATGTTGCATGACTCAATAAAATAATAATAATATATAATATATAATTTAATATAAATAAAATATTAATATATAAAGTAAAGTTGTGGGACTCAACATAAATTCTTTAGAATTGAACCATTAGAATGAAAAATTAATTGAGATATTTCAAATGGACGTGATTTAATAAATTCTATAAAAAATTCAAAAATAGATTCACAATTGAGAAATAGCATTAGTATGAAAAAAAGACACTCAACTACTAGATTATGATCCTTTATTATTTTAATATTTGAAATAAAAATATATAATACATGATAAGTGTATATTATTAAAAAATTAATTATTTCAATTACATTATCATTTTTATAAATATGTCTCACACGTACATATTTATGTATTATATAATAAAAACTTATATATAAATGATTTTACCGGTTCAGACTTGAACCGTCACGACTGACTTCGAGCTGAAGTTGAACGAGATGGAGGGTACCTGCAAGGCACTCCGATGCTAAAGTAAGTGGGAGTACGAGCAGACAAAAAGTATGAGTATGGATAAGAGAATGAATACCTAACCCTCTGAGAGCAGAGGGTATTTATAGCCCCCAGCGCTGGGTCAAGGTTCCTTCATTGGGCCGGGCAGGTTTGGCCCAATGAAGGAACTGCCAGGTTCTACGTGTGTAGTGGGGACCCGCACGTGGTCTCCTTCCTGGGTGTTCTGCGAGAAGTACGAACGGACGGGGACGCGATCTTTTTGGAATCTAGATGATGGCGTAATGGTCATAGTCTGTCCTACGAGGAGCGCTCGAGCTGAGGTCGAGCTGGACTGCATGAAGTCGAAGATGTCGTGGACAAGGTTGTAGCTTCTTGGTCGGCGCGACCCCCTGCAGGGCCGTTTGGATTGGGCCTTCATCCTTGCTTTTGGGTCAGCCCGGCCCAGTCCAGAACAGGAGCCCCCCAAGTCGTGGTTCCTGGAGTAGGGGCCATGACTTGATCTTAGTTCGCCTCTGTCATGGGGTCACGTGCTCGGACAAGAGATGTAGTTCCCCGTGGTTGCTCGATGGGTTTCCCCTGTGTCGCGCCCGTGAGATAATTCCTTTCGAGGAGTGCTCGGGGGACTCTCGACGAGGCATCTCTTGAGCACATGAGGCATCTCTTGGGAACCGTGCCGCCACCCTATTGACGATAGGGTCATCATTGCCTAGGGGAGCTATGCGTCGAGGAGGGAAGTCTGTGGTTCCCCGGGGTGACGTTTCGTATTCCACGTCATCACTATAAATAGGGTCCTTGGGCCCCAGAACATGTTTTTCCTCTTCGCGCTTCTCCTCCTTCCTCTGCCTCTGCTGCTGCTGTTCTTTCCAGATATTCATAGGATCGTCGTGCTCTCCGTCGTTGATTCCCTTTTCCGCCGTCGCACCTCTTTCCTGATTTCAAGTAAGTGTCCTGTCTCCTTTGCTTTTCCTCTGTGATATATGATATTTTCCATTGTTTTAGACGTTAGAGATTGTACGTCTGGGATTAGCCCTTGTAGATTTGTATTTGGCTCAGCAAATTCATGTTCATGCCTGGCAAACGCATGTTTGCGCCCGGTAAATGCATAGTTTAGGTATTTGACTTGCAGTGCTGCCTGGGATCTTCATGATTCAGGGCGCCTAACTCGTGATAGTGCCTGGTAAATTCATAGTTCTAGTTTTAGGATTTATGATATCGCTCGCCATGTTCATAGCCTAGGTCGATATATTCGTGAGTGGCCGAGATGTTGGTCCATTTAGGCGATCTGTAGGAAGACTTATCGTGGTATCTGGGAGTCGGGGAGGTGACTCTACTCTTTTTGTTCGAAACACCAACTTTTTTAGTCGTGCGTGGGGTGACTCGGTTTGTCGTGCCCTTCTTCCCGTCCGTTATGGTGAGTGTGTGGATTTGCTCCACAATTGACCAGTTTCCTGTGCTTTGTAGGTAACAATGGCGGACGAACCGTGTTCCTCGGGGCGCACTGAGGCGGAAGACCAAAGTGCCGAGGAGAATATGAATTTGGTCGATACCATCGACGATCCTCTACTGGAATGGATGGGCGTCGAGCCCAGAGGGATTGCTTCAGCCTATAATCGACGCAGTCAAAGTGCGTATACCATCATCGAGCAGGCGGTAGTCAGCCTGGTTTTCAGAAGAACTTCGTTGTCACCAGGCCGACTCTTACTGCGCGGATTTGCTCGGAGTTCCCCGAGTACGGGTTCCCCATGTATGAGATTTCTTTCAAGGACCTGGGATTAAAGCTCCCCTTCAGCGATTTTCAGGTCGGGGTCTTCAGTCATCTGGAGCTGGCCCCGTCGCAGCTTCACCCAAACTCGATCGCTTTCATCCGGGAGTTCGAGCTGACGTGTCGCTTTCTAAGGATTGGGGCGACCATACCTCTCTTCTTCAGAGTCTTCCATTTACAGCGCCAGTCCCGGGGAGGCAGGCACAGTTGGGTTTCCCTGAAACAGTCGAAGAGACCGTTCAGGATGTACATGGATTCTGTCCGGGGCTTCAAGGACAAGTGGTACATCGTACGGCCGGTTACCAAAACGGGTTTAGAGTCTGTATACGAGGAAGAAACGGTTGTGACCGACGATCACGGGGAGGCTCTTCTAGACGACGAGGGACGCCCGGTGTTAGGGCGTGTGGCCAAATTTCCTTTGCATTGGACCTCGCGTCATTACGAGCACGGCACCGGGCACTACCATACGTCCGCGGGTGGGATGAGCACCAAAGATGAGGAGGCTTATGGTACCCTGTGCCGATATGTCGACAGTTTCTTCCCTTCCCGGTGGGCCACGAGGGAGGGGAAGGATATTCTTGACGAAGATGGTTATCCGACTTTTGAGGCCCGGCCTATCGATACGAAGGCGCTCGCGGAGTGCCAGTCCTTCGGGCAGGCCGCAAACCTGCTAGGTCATTATCATTTTGTCTTGTTTGAATTTCTTCGCTTGTTATTTGCTCGTTACTAACCCGGGATTCTTTTATGCAGGTCTCATGGCCGGACGAAAAGAGAGGCTCCTGAAGTTGACACAGGATAAGAAAGTCAATAAGAGAGTGGTGCGAGCTCCACAAGCGACGAGGATGGGCCCGCCAACTAGCCCGGGCGCTGCTTCTGGAGGGTCCCCGGGCGCTCAGGATGTCGAGCCACATACCGACCTGATACCAAGAAAGAGGAACCGGGTGGAGGGCCAGCCGGAGGTTGGTGAGGACTCTAGTGCGGTGAGGTCCTTCGGGTTGCCCCCCTGTTTTAAAGAGGAGGGTTTCTTCGAGGGATTTACCTTGTCCGTGAGTGCTGATGAAGTTGATACCATTAGGCGGCTGAGCAAGGAGAATCTAAGAAAGCATCTGGCCGCCAACATGGTCGGGATGGTCAAAATGGTCGAGATGGCCGTTGTGCTGGCCGAGGAGTATGCGGTCTCTGATCGCATGAAGGAGCGGGAGCAGGAGAAAGCTGCACTTACTACGAGCTCACGAAAGTTGAAGGCTGCCCTGGAGCGCTCTGAGGAGATGTTCCGCGAGCAAGCCGAGCTGCTGGCCGCGGAGAAAGAGAACTCGGGGAAGATTGCCGAGGAGAGGGAGTACTTCCGTGAGGACCGGGAACGCTTGGAGGCTGACAACGGGCGCCTCGCCAAAGAGGTCGAGGAATTAAAGGCCGCCATGCTCCCTGCCGAGGATGAGTCGGGGGAGACAGCTCCTTTGCAAAGTCGGTCGGAACTGGTTGCTCGCATTCAACTCCTCGAGGCGGATTGCTTCGGTGCTTTAGCGGATGGCTTTGAAGCCGCGGTCAGCCAGCTCTCCCTGTTGAATCCCGATCTGAATACTGAAGGAGTGGGTTACATGTCTCAGATCATCGACGGTCAGGTCGTGCCCCCGCCCGAGTCTCCTGTTGTCGGCGGTGATAGCTCTGGGGAAGTCTAGCTGTGAGATTCTAGTAGGGCTTGCGCGCCTTTATTGATGGTTGTTTTGGGGCCTGCGTGCCCGTTCATATTTTACTTTTTGGGCCTGCGTGCCCGTTCTTTGTAATTCTTGAACATCGTCGGCCTTCTTGGCCGGTTTATCTCTATTTATTTTGTTGCCCACGAGCTTTTCGAATG